AGTATAAAATTTTGAAATATAGATCAATTATTATTATATTGAAAATTCAATACAAAAATCTGGCCCCGCTGATCTATTCTAATGAATGATTAATATCTTAATTCGATATCGAAATCTATTTTTTTTCAGAAATATCAATGATATATTGATGATTATCTATCTTTGAATTAAAAATACATCATCGTTAATACGAAATCTGGAAATTCCTAAGATTTTGAAAATATAATCTCGCAATTTCGATTAATTTTGATTTATATTTTAGATTTTATTTCATTTAATTGCTTCGAGAAATATCATTTTATCAATAATATCCAATATAATAATGAATGAGTGATATATCAAATCTTCCCATATTCAGAGAAACTTATAGTCGTATCTTCGATCCGGGACGTAAGTCCTACGAATTTTCAGAATATTTGGGAAAACAAAGTCAAGAGTTCCGAAATTATTATAGACGCTCCAAGATCGGATATTTTGCCAAGAATATATTTTGCAATAAATCTATGACAATATCTCTATCTAATTTAGAATATAGATCTCAATCAGAATTATATAAAAATATAAAATCATTTCTTAGAAATTCATCTATTTGGTATTTTTTCTATTTCTCATCATGCCAATCAGAAAAATATAATTAATTCTTTATTTAAATTATTCGATCAATTTTCTTTTGCAAAATATATGAAATCATTTCAATCTTAATCTAATATTTATATAAATAAATTCAATCATAAATATTATATGAAAAATATATCTTAAATATAGAATTTTAATTGAAATAATATGAAATATATTTAATTCAAAATAACTAATATTATATATATGAAATGGAAAAGAATTTCATTAAATAAATTATATAATCAATATTTTAAAATCAATATCATTTTCAATTCAGAGAATATTTCTCTAGAAATCGTATATCATCAAAAATATTAAATTAAGAATATTAGAATATACCAATATTTATATCAAAATTCTCATCGCCTCATAAATTCATTCGAAAATATAGTTTAATTATAAAATATTATAAGAATATATTTAGTCCTCTCAAAAAATAAGAAATATATTATTTTAAATCAATAGTCCAAAATTACCTTCACCTCAGAAATAAAAATAATATAAAGAAATTACAATAATTTATCTCCAATCAACAAGGCTAGTTTTCAAATCAGAATTCTCAGAATCTATATTTCAAATAAAAAAAATCTTAAGCATTCGAAAAAATCAGAATATCTATATTCTTTTAAATTTCATATTCACAATCAAATATCGTCCTCGCGACCGAAAGATCCATATTCAATTTTCAATAATTAATATTATCTTCTTCCAAATCTTTTTCTATCTTCTTCAATGAATCCTAAATTGAATTTCATCTTCCAGAATTTCTTCTTCAAATTTCGTCTTCGTGAATTCAAGTCAGTTTCAGCTCGTGGTGAGTCGATGCATAGTAAGAATTTCATAAATAATCAATCTCTTGTTCCGGGAGTTCAATTATTCGGAATATGTGAGCAAAAGAAGATAACAAGATATCATTTATACAAATATCTTTATTTATAAGTAGTCGTCATTTGGACAGAGTATTTGCCCTGCTTCCGGGCTGCTCATACTCATATTGTCTCATTTTCCGATGCCTGACTTCTGAAGCATCAGTCATTCTTCCTTCGCCTGGCAGGAATCGCATGCATTGCAAGTCTCAAGTTCAGATGGGATGTCCAATATCTATATCATTGCTGTACATTGCTGTAAACTTGACCCCGCATCGAAAATCAAGACTAGCATGGCAGTACCACACAGACCCTCAAACACCGTTCGTTCGATCTGCAGTGAACAAACCTGAACGCCGAGCCTTCTCCTCTCTCTTCTCGCGAGCTTTCTGTTTCAGCTCCAACCGCTTCACCTGAAGCTCTTCAACTGTTCCATGCCGTACCACAAACCTTGTTATCTCCCTACTTGCTCTCCTGTGAACCTGGATCTAGCAGACAGAACTTGAAAACAGGCAAAAAGACAAAGGCTGCCAACCAGATCCAAGATGCTCTGATGACCATGGAGGCTGCCTCCCCACAAGCAGCAACTCTGTAGCAAAGCTCTGACAGGCATGGTGAAGTCGGGGGCCTTCTTCCTCCATGAGTCATGCTTACGTGCCGGCGTCATTCTAGATTTAGGAACATGATCCCTGAGCGAGGCTGTAGATTCTGCAGATGTGAAAGCAAACTGCCTCTCTGAGAAGAAAGCCGACGATGACGAACTGGCAAAGCCTGGGAGGAACCAACATTGGAAAAGGATTTCCACTGTTTGCTGCTCCAGAAAAGCTGCTCACACTGGACCGCTTCTAACGAAATGGGATGCTAAAGACGGTGTATTCGCCAGGCTGAATGACCCCTATACATCTGGTGTTGTACCTGAGTCTATGCCGCACTAAATCAAAAGATGTAAGGCAAGTGCAAGAGCGGCAGGCCCAGCATGATGGACGCGAAAACCTCATGCTGAACGGCAGTTTGAGGATGTCAGGACCACTACAAGTAGTGCTGCTGCCGCTGCCACTGCCACTATTGCCACTACTGCCACTACTGCTGCTGCTGCTGCTACTACTCTACTACTACTAGGACTAGGCTGCGGCAGTAATTCTGCTGTTAAGCGAGAATGCTAGTGCCAAAGCACTGAAACCTGGAACTTGCGCAGTAGTCATCGTCGCTGCCTCTGTAGACTATAGAAGTAGAAGTAGCAGTCGTCGTTGTCGTTGAAGCGGAAGTAGGAGGAGCTCTCGTGGGTTTTAGCAGTGGCCTGACTGAGGGCCCTGGCTCCGGAAGAGTCGAAGTAGTCCTGGCTGGAGAAGGCCATCCAGTGTTGGCCGGCCTCGGGCTCCGAAGCGAATTGACCGGGCTCAACGACACTCCGACACCGAGTCTCGGGCGAGTCTGTTCAGAGTCTCCGCGGCAGCCAAGCAGCATGTATTGGCCTGCAGCCATGTCGGCTTCTGGCGGCGCTAGTCTTCTGAGCTTTGTCCTGCTGTATCGTGTTTGCAAATTGACTGGGAAAGGCTCGTTGAATTCCAACAGCAACGGTCGAAAAGTATCCTTTCGAGTCCGTTAGGTCCGGTTGCTTGTCCTGGACCGGGTACTGTGCTCATCGGGGAAAGGAGTGGAACAACCATGCATATTCGCATCTGCGAGCAAGGACCATGAGCTACAGTCAGGTTTGCCCTTGACGCCAAACAGTTCGAGTCAGAGTCTCACGGCATCTCACGGCGTCCCACGTGAAGAGCCCCCCAATGACTCCTTTGGACCCTGGCCATGAAGATCACGGAGAGACGCTCCCAGGACCTCCCACAGAAGTCTGAAAGTATCGCCTTCACTTGTAGGTATAGTCTTTGAGCATCTTGCTATGTATGACAACGGAGAAACTCACAACATCCTGGTCACAGTCTCCTTGGCGCAATGCTTGCGCTGCATACAGAGCATACAGCAAGCAACACAGCGCAGTGCGGCTCAAGGTCTCCTGCTTCATTTGCAGGGCTTCGAGCCGTCAAGGCAGCCAGAACACCCACTTTTTGCGCGGGCTTCAAAGCTGCTCGGAGTGAAAGACGACTGCCCGGGAGTTGCGAGACGGGAAAGCCCCCGCAACAGCACAACATCCTAAACGGTCCTTCGCACGACAACACTCAGTGGCAAACGGTCTGGGGGCCGGACGAAAGCAGCAGCAGCAGTGCGGGGCAAACCCCCCGACAGATACTCTTCTATTTGTCTCTCTCTGTCTCTCCCCCTGCAATTGGTGCAAGACCGCTGATAGTTCTGCCTGGTGGCCTCTGTTTTGATTGTGGTTCCAGCCTACAACATTTCACATGACAGGTACGGTGAATGTGTGTCAATGTGACTCTGGGTGCATGTATGCAAGAACAAAGTATTATATACATATATATACATACACATACATACACATACACATACATACATACATACATACATACATACATATACATGATAAAAAAATAAACAAATAAATAAGTAACAAATATATATATATATATATTATGTGCATGGGTATGTTTGATCTTCCGCAACGTTTACTGCATCTTGCTGACCGCGCATCTCCGATGAGATACACGCGGCACATTCGTAGGTTCCAGCGTGCACCGAATTTAGTTTTCCAGTTCTGTGAGGTGGCAGTCCTCTAAATCCCCGAAAAGCCGTGGCCTTGAAATCTTGAGAGGAAGGACATGTCGCCTGGCCTCCGGCTAAGGAAGATGCAGATCAGGTCGATCAGCCTCGGAAGCTGCCAACAACTCGGGGGGTGCGAGTACCAGAAACTTTGAAGATCAAGACTTGCACACATCCGTCTCTGTGGCCGAATGTGTTCTCCCTCCACAACCACCGTGCTAGGACCTCTTGGAGATTGCCTGGTTGGAGTCCGATGCGCCGTGGTCGACTTTGGAGTAAGCCTGCCGCCAAGCGTCTCCACCATGAACAGCATCCAAATCCAGGTGTCTTTCCGCCAGTCCTGAGGAAAAGTGAACGTTCTTTGCATGTTCTGTCTTCTAGCGGTGTTCAGAACTCCAGAGTACACAGGCATCAGATGCCTGAATTTCGAGCTCTTCCATTTCCCGTGCTACAAATAGTTGTCTCCACGAAGGTCCCAGGCCAAAGCTAAGTGCAAGTATCTGAGCAGCAGACGATGGCATGGGCGAAGGCCTGCACGTCCTCCCAGAAGCTTTGGGTGTAGCGATGTTCCCTCAGCTTCCAGCAACCATGCACAGCTGCAACATAAACAATTGAGAGCGAGAGGGCATCACCGAGGGCTCGGCCCCGAAAGCTGCGTTCGCAGGACATCCTCCACGGCTCGAAGCCTCTGCTGCTTCATCCGCTTGGATACTGCAGAAGGGCGGCATGGGGAATACCGCAAAAGTTTTCTGTCACCAGCGCAAAACGAAGTCGCTTGTTTTCTGCATAAACTCCGGTCGCCAGATTAGTTGCGTGTTCTTTATCGGAGCGGTTTGAAATTGTTTTTTTTGAATCAGTTTTCCTTGTGTAGGCTCCTTTCCCGACGAAGACTATGGTGTTTTACAGTGTGGCCTGCAGCGCATTACGAGTAGCACCGTTTAGGAATCTGAACTGGCCTCATGCTCTAAGCTGCGGGTTCCTTTTGACACTCCCTTTCGTCCCTACAGCTTGCTGTGGGTAATAATGTCATTTTGGCTGAGGCATGGGACCGGGACAAGCAAGACAACTCACTCAACTTATTCCATTACTCCAACTGAACAGTAGGTCCCCTGCCTGGATCGCACGGGTCAGATGCACCACTGCACCAAACATCGACAAACAATCCAGCCCCACAGACAGTAGGCAGCGTCCGTTGTCACCATATTTTTTAACCAAGTCTGAACAGTGGCATGTGGGTCTCGCTTGACTCATAGGTTTTTTGCATTAGGGTCTGCTTGTACCTTACAATGCACGTTTTACGGTTGGGCCGCCAAGCTTTGACGGAGAGATGCTGAGGCAGGAGACCGGATGTCAGGGCAGTAGCTTTTTGGGCTTCCAATGGGGCTTCAATCTTTGGGCTTCTTCTTCGACGATTGTTTGCCCGCCTGCACTGCCTGCCTGGTGCCTACGTGCCTGCCTGCCTGCGTGTTTGCCTTCCGGCCTCTGTGCTTGCCTAGGCAACCCCCGAAACGGACAAAAAGTACAAAACCCAACTGTAAACATATGAAAATCATCAGCAATTCATTCCTAATACCACCACCACCACCAACAACAACTCTGTGTCTGCATGCTGGAGTTATCTTGCACGCACACGCAGGCACACAGAGATAAATAGATAGACAGATCGATAGATAGATGGATAGATCAGCAGATATCTACCCACCTACTTACCCATCTATCTATGTATGTAACATAACAACACATCATACAAAAAGGGACATTGAGTGGGAATGCTCTCCTAAAGCTCAAGTGATTCTGCAGGGGAAGCCTGAACCCAGCAACGGAAGAAGTCTTACATCCCAAAAGCAACAAAACAAGATGTTGGGCGGGTTGGACTCCCCGACTCCCCAGTATGGCCGGGTTGCACCCCGGCCGCGCTTTCAGCCAATGTCCCGTTCTCGTCGTCCATGGCAGGTCACAATTGCTTCTGACTTGGCCGAGTGGAGCACGGACTTGACCACACGATTAAGTGAATCATGTCCTCGCGGATTTTACACCAATTGAATTCATGCTGAGCTTCTAGAACATACAAAAACCAATACGTACTCGCCTCATGTTGGCTTTGCTAAACTTCCTGAAGGCCGCCCGTTGTGCAGCGGCAATTGTCACGTCAGGCCGCTGCAATTCATGATTACTCGCCATGATCTGCTGGCCCTTATCCAGGCCAAATCTCGGCACGAGCCCTCGACTGCATGATGCCAATGCTGTGACGCAGGCTCTGTCTAGGGTCTGTTTGCAATCTTCTTGTTTTCCATCTGGCGCGTGCAAGTCAGTGCTGTGCCACCTGAGATGTGCTGAGCTTCAGAACTGGACTTGGAAAAGTCGGTGGAAATGGCTCAGACTGGCGCAGCACTCGACTTGCCCTTGGCATCCTACAGATCATGGCAAGCCAGTCTGCTTGTGACTGAGAACGCTCGATAGAGGTACAGGTGCCTGCGCGTTCTGTACACTTGCCGGCGGCAGGGCACCACGGTTAGGATACATAACGGCCATCTGCCTCGCATGTTTAACGCGTCCCAAATAACCGCCAACTGTGTTCAACTGCACAAAAGCGGAACACCGAGGCATAAGGAGCAGCTCTGCTGTCCAAGCCAATCAGACCATCGGCTTGTGCCTGAAGGGTTTGGGGGTTTAGGTCCGTCATGGTCCATCTACAGCAAGTGCAGCTCGAAGCCCCTTGCAAGCATGCTGCTAACTTGAGAAGAGGGCCACGAACGCTAGGGGAAGGAAGTGCAGCAGGGATAGGGTGGGGCGTTGCTACAGGACCAGACCGACTACTTAAGTGAACTGGAAAACGACAACGCCCGCAAGCTCCGCGAAGCTGGCTTGTGTGATCCTTGTCAAATCTTTTGAATCACTTGCTATAGTAAGCCTAACGTACTTCACCTCTCACAAGACCAAAGTCTTCGAACTGCTGACCTAGCACAAAGAACTGCCCTCACTCGTAGTCTGATGTACTTTGTATATGGCCCCGTCATGCATGATGGGTCCTCGGCGCCCGTCACATTCGCAGCACCTGTGCAACGCTGTTCCGCGTTTCAGTGGCTCTAGACCAAAAGCGCCATGGAAGTTCCCCTGCCTTTGGCCTCCAGGGTTTACCAGCGATGCGCTTCGTGGCCTGAGCACTGTCTTGCTGTGGGATAACATCCAATACATTCGGGCTGCAAAGCTTCATGGGTTACAAAAAGATGTGGCCCTGGCAGCGCGTGTTGCCACCTGCTGCACCGTGTCCCAAGTCTCGTTCGAGATCCACGGTGGCAAGTATCCTGGATGCCTGGGTTGTGGGGAAAGCATCGAAAGTGCGGAAACCCTGCCCAAGGACAGGAAGGTAATCCAAATGAGCTCAATGCGGAGCAAGGCCGTAGAGAACGCAGGACCAGAACCCGAGGTCTTGGCGAAGAAACCTTGATGCTGCCCGCCGCTGCACCCCAGCCTGGTTTTGCAAGAGGCTGTGCTCAAGCGGTTCGCCGGCGAGGCATCTTCTACATTTAGGGTGCGAGCATGACCTCAAGTACCCAAGCCGTCTTTGCTGCCTGAACTAGGCTTATGATGCATGCCAGTGGTGCGTCGGTTCCAGGTGAGTCTCAGGATGAACATAGCTTGACAAGCTGAGAGCAAAACCAAAGAGAAGACTGTGGTTTTTGCACTTACCAGCTTCACTCCCTGATCGCTGGCTGGGCAGTACTCATTCAACAGCCAACGATTTGTTTTGAGAGATGTGTTGTTGTAGGGCGAAACGATCCACGATGAAAGCAACCGTACCATGTGAGCGATCATGTGGCCTGGCGCAGAGGGACCCAGTGCCCTCGCTGCGGTTGGCACCTTTGGTGACAGGGAGGGTGGGAGGGTTGTCGTCGGAGCAGGATTTCGCTAACTCCGCTGAATAACATTGCAGCCGCTTTTGCTTCTATCTAGAGACTGGGAGCAAGCAGAAAGTCTCGGTGGTGTTAGCGCCAAAACTTCAAATCTTGAGCTCTGTGCCGACACAACTGCTGGAGGAGTCTTCGGCTTGGGCGCCCATCTTTGCCTGCGACATCGGGTTTGCTTTGACAACCAGGCCAAACACATCGCAAGCACGTGCAATCATCGCGAGAAGCGACTGCGAATTCGCACTACTCGGCCAAAACCACGTAGCTCCCCAAATCTGAGCATTGCTTGACATTGAGATCGGCCGTGTAAGTGCGCAGGACATCCATAAATTCGATACGAAGACCACCCGGAACCACTGCCTCTCGGGCGGTGATGCCTGTGGCGGTAGAGTGTGTTGTGACAATCGGTCTGGCGCTTCTCGGCTGCTTGAAGTCTGATTGACAAGTACGGTTTGCAACTTTGGCTTTCCACTCCAAAAAGAAGCGGCCATGTCCACGGGCGTTCGGAAGGACAACTCCTTGCTCTCTTGATCGTGACTTGCCTTAACTCCCCAAAATGCTGCTGCCTGACCCTCACAGCATGGCTTGGCCTGCGCGGCCTTGTGCAGTGCTTCTGCAACGGAGAGGCGATTCTGCAAGAGATATTCACAAGCTTCTGTTTCGCAAACTCGAGCTGGCAAGAGCAGGATCGCCGAGCCTAGACCTGCACCTGAACATTGGCTGTAGGGCCGTCATTAACACAGCGATCTGCTCGCCTCCATCTCCGCAACGATGATGTCCGATGCCATCATCCCCTGCCCGAACATGCAATCCGGAAAGCCATTGCGGCTTTAGTTGGAGGAAAACTCTGTGAGCCGTAAGCCTTAAGGCTTGAAAAGCCGACTGCCTGAAATGGACGGAGCTGACCCCCCAGATGTCTTGCTTCTCGCTGATGCACTGCCGGTGTCAGGCCTTGGAAGGCATGCTGCCGTCAATCTGACTGAAGTGCTGCCATGCGACGATGCGAGTTTCGAAAGCTTCGTGACCACATCTCCGACAAATGCCACCGACACGGTAGGCTGCATCACAACTACGTGGGGGCGAAGGGATGGCCAAGCAGCAGATCAAAAATGGAACATCTTACCCGCACGAAACATGGTTAGGAATCTAGATGAGAGGATACTCTGCGGTCTCGCTGGGCGCCCGGGCGTGGAAGTCTGAGGTAATCTGCTGCCGCAGTGATCGCAGGCAGCTGTGGTGCTGATGCAGTCTGGAACCTAAGGTGGCAGCCATGTGGTGAGGAAGAGTCAAATTCTGCATGTGCTCCGCTTGGGTCCTTGGTCTGCCAAGATCCCGGCATGCGCTGGGATCGACTCAAGCTGTACCCGGGATCCGGCCGTAGCGAAGGGAGTGCAGGACGCATCCTCTAGAGGACTTGCACTCCACCGGATCCTTCTCCGCCAACCGTTTCAATTTACGAAGAACGACGGCTTTGGCAGCTGCTGTTTGTGTTGTTGTGTTGCAGTTTTGTTCGAGGCCACTTCTACCACGGACATGTGAGTGGCAACTCGCAACTCTGACTTCCATCTGGTCTGCATACCCCGAGCCGAAGCCGCAGAATGCTAGCACATCGTCGTACTGACAAGCAGGCAAAGTCACCACAGCCCCAACAGCTGCCCTTAAGTTGCCTCACAGGCCTCATGGAACACCTGCGACTCAGCCAACGACACCAAAGGAACAAACACCTACCTCATTTGTAGCCACCCATACTTGACGAAGGGTGGCATGCCTAGCTGCATGTGGATCGGCGAGCACGCTTTGTCCTCCCGCGCTTTCGAACTCCATGTCCCTCCGAGCCACGGAGATGCGTGTGCAAGGCAAGTGCAAACTAAACAAGCACCCTGGGGGACCTCAAGCAGGAACCACAGGATGGGAAAACACTGGCGAGGAAGGGACTAGCCGGTCTAAGCCAACGGCATCATTCCGTTCCTGTGACAACCCTTTTCAGGATGAAGAAGGTGCCTCCGAAGAGCATTGTAAGTCCGGTCACCACCGCGAAGGCTCCCACGATCTTGCCCAGAAGCCCCCGACCAGCCACTATGCAGATGTAGCCTGGTACAACGTAGCAAAAGAGGCTGAGGCCCAAAGAGCCACAAAGCCCAAAGACGTCCGGCAGATCGGGCACGGCAAGGTCCAGCAGAATGGCGATTAGCATCCTTGCACGGTTCACCTATCAACATGATTCTGAACAAGCTTCGAAAGACAGAAAAGTCTTACTTTGCTCAATCATAGGCCAGCATCCCAGCAAGGCTGATGAAGTGCCTCGCATATCTCCGGTTCTTCAAGCCTTAGAGCAAGTGAGTGCTCAAGTGAGCTTAATTTTTGCGATGAGGGGGTCTTCTGTTTCTGGCAAGAAACCCAAAGTCCGAACATTCAAGACCATGTTGACCATTGGGAAGTTGATGATGGGATACTCGAGGACTATCACGACCACCAAGGCTGCGCACAGCAATGTGATCGGGTAGTCAGTAATAGGGAAGTTGTAAAGCACGTTTCCGTAGCCGTTGCCCTTTCTCTGCTTGCCAGCCTCTGTGCCGAAGGTCCAAATGCAGAAGCCTGACACCAGCAAGTACAAGCTGAGAACCAATATGCCGGAACAGATAGCAGTCTTCTTCATGCGCGGGAAGGCTTCGTCCACCCCTGCTCCCTTCTTGAGGGCCGCAAAAACCTCCCAGAAGCTGAGCATGCCGGTGAATGCAAAGCACACGTTTGGAGCCGAGGTGAGGAATGCCTTGAAGTCTGGCACCGTGGCTGGTGTAGCAAACTCGCCGTGGGCTCCGAGACCACGGCCGATGGTGACGCAGGAAGTGACGACCACGGCGGCACAGAGCAGCATCACGACCAAAGCAACACTGTGCCCAACATGCTGCAACGCGGCGAGATTGTCGGCGAAGCAGAAAGGGCTGGCCACGCCAAGGAAAATCAGAATCAAGACAGCCCGCTGTGTATTGCTGAAGTGGTATTGCCCGTAGTCGTCGGTGATGAAAAACGTCAAGATGTCGAAAAGCATTCCTGCGATAGTCTGCATGTGGGCTGCATTGCCAATGAGTAGGGAAATGAGGAGACTGACCCGAGAGCAAGTACGGGCCAGCGGCGCAAAGCGGCACAGTTCCTCCCAGGACTGCGTGTTGTGATGCTTCACAATGTCCAGCAAGTTCAGCATGAGAAGTGTGGACAACAACCCGAAGTAGCAGCAAAGGCCCATGCCCCAAAGCCATCCAATCTCGTTCCAGACAGTGGGGAGTGAGAAGACACCCACTCCCAGGGACATCGTGCTGAGCAAAAAGACGGAGCCTTTCCAAACAGAACAGCTTGGCAGTGCAACACTGACGCTCTCTGCTACCGCCTGCAACATGCATGCTGCTAAGTTCAGGAAGCCCAAACTTCTACCGCATGCCTCCTGAAGTTCGGCAAAGGGCGAGTTCCACTTGTGTGTTCTGTGTTCGCAAGAAGAAAACTGACTGGGGATGCTGTCCGGCAGCTACTGACTTTCGTAAGGCCTTTTTTGTCACCACCATTGGGAGAGTCACCGTCGTCGGGAGGGAACATGGCTGCAGCTGCTTCCTCCATCGGCGGCACTACACTGAAGGACATTGCCAGAGCCGGGGTGGACGTCTTAGACGTCTTAACTCATGAGCCAACTGCAACGGACGGCTGAGCCCGGCTGAGTGCAGCGTAGGCGAATGCGCTCCTATGATCATGTTGCTTCGAAGACTTTCCCCATCTTTTTCCTCACGCTGTCAAGGCTCTCTTGACTCAGCTTGGACCACATACCAAGCACCTTTCAGGCTGCACGGACAAAGAGTTGATACATAGACATGGTTGCTTTGCTTTACTCTTTCTTGCTGCAGGGTTATGGGCAAGAAGGGCTAACCCCCTTTACTCTCTCTTGCTTGCTTGCTTGCTAGCGGCTACGAGAGGGCGCACCCGTAGGAACTCCCCCCCACGTGCTGCGCGCAGCCGTGTTCCAGGTCTTCTGAGGGTAGCTCTTTTAGCCATCCCCCAGCTCGGTGTGAAAGGATTCGCAACCACTGGCTGACCGAGGATTTCCCCCAAGTAGCAGGATTACATGAAGGTCAAGTACTGAACATTACTTGTCACACGTCGGTCAGGCTAGTAGAATGCAGCAGGTCCCCTCTGTACGTTAGGGTTCAGTTCAACTGTGATCCCCCCTATGCTGAGGGGCAGCTCTCCGTGACGGTTAGAGCAAAAGAGGGTATCCCCGAAGTTCAAGGTTTCCCTCTTGAAAACAAGGCAAGTACTGTGCAAGCAGAAACGGACTACGGAGGCTCAGACTGTAAGTCCCCCGTTTTTGGCTGTCATGTGCAATCCTAGCGAGCACTCAAGTGTCGTCGGCGGCGAAGTGGGGGACGATCGCTGTCGCGCCCCCGAGCTCGGTGCGCCCTTTTCTCCCCCGTTCGGCGCTGAGTCTCTTCTCCCACGTCCATGAATGCAGCGATTCTCTTCGTCCTCGCCGCCAAGCTCTCCTGTGGTTGTCTTCCCCCAGCGTCTGGGAAACCCGTTTGATTTTGGCAGTAAGTGTTCCGCGGGCCGGTTCCCCCGTCTTCGCCAGAGGTAGCTTGACAGTAAGACCGCCCACCCGCAGAGTGCGGCGTCGTTCTTCTTCTTGTCGGCGGAGTCGTTGGCCGAGTTGTTCCCCCGCCTGCTTTGCCTTCTGCGATGCGGGTCTGATAGTCGCACCACTTTCGATCTCGATGTCTATCAGTTCTTCCTCTCGGTCTGCTTGGGCTCCCCCGCTTGGTGGTACCGGAGCTCCCCCGCTTGGTTGCTTGAGCTCGTTCATCACCTGTTGGACGAGGTCGTCTTGGTCTAGTGGTGGCTCGCCCCCCGCACATGCTCCCGGGACGCTGCTTGCGGGCTCCTCTGGCTCCCCTTTGTCTCGGGCTGAGGCTTCTGAGGTACTGGGAGAAGCGGGCAGCCCCCATTCCTTCCGGATGTCCGTCACGGTCATGTTGTGGAAGATCGTTGCGAAGGTAGCTGCACTAGGCCACGTATGCTTAATCCCCTCCACAATGTCGTCTGCAGAGGGTTGCTAATCCCCCGAGGCTTCATCCAGGTCCACGAGCAGTTCTGGGGTGACTGGCTGCCTCGTCCCCTCCGGGCCTGGGAGATCTTGCCATCCCCCAGGTTGCTGGGTCTCCTCGTCGAGAAAAGGCGGCGTTGTCACCTCCTCATCGTCTCTGGCGTCCCAGTCGATCTCCTCCTTGACGGCGATCTCGGTGCCTCCCCTTTCAGGGTGTCCGGTGTTGTCTCCCCCGGCATGGGGAGGTGTTGCCTCCACTCTCTCATCTTGGGTCTTCGCCTGCTCCTCGATCGTCTTCGGCTCTTTCCCCTCGTCGGTTCCCCCCGGAAGGGAGATGGCAGGCTTTGAGGCCAAAATTTTGGCAACTGTAGCTGCAGGTATCCCCAATTTGTCTTGCCAGCGCACTTTACATGCTGCCCACATTTCAAAGGCCAGGAGCGGGTCTGCACGCAGTTGGTCATAAGCCATCTGGAGGTGCGTTCCCCCGCTGAGTGTGCCGACTGTCATCAATGCGCTATA